CAGAAGGTCCCCAGAGCAGGGCTGACCCAGGCATGGGGACAGGGTTTAGTGTGGTGCTGCATGGCTGCTGGCACCCTGGGAAGCAGGGCTGAGCACCTGGAACCTACGGAAACGCAACAGCCAAGGGAAAGCAGCGGCAACCCCAAAGGGATCCGAAGGGCGAAGCTCGGCAATTCGCTGGCCCGGCAGCTCCGTGGTACACATCTCGGCCGCCCCAGGAACCCCATTCAGAGCCCTTTGTTGAAGTAGACCGTCTCCAACCATGGGTCTTTCTTCCGTATCTGATCTTGGACATCAGGCTCCAAGCTGCTCACGGCCATGGAGCTGCCAAGGGGACACAGATACAGAGGATGGAGGAGATACTGATGGCCTCAGCTTGGAAAACCACCTGCTGTACCTCTTGGGGATGCTGTTCCCACGGCACAGCACAGACCCTTGGGTCTGCACTGCTGTGTGTGCGCAGAGACACGTGTGCACGGGTTCAAGCCTCTGACCACTCACAGAAGCAAAACAATCTCTTGGGACTCAGAAAGCACAAGGAGCCCACACACCCCCTGCCTACACCCCAGCCCTGCCCCATGGGAGCCACATGTGGAGGCGAGGTGTTCGTCTGTACCTTTTCTGCGGGAAGAGTGCGCAGCACAGCGGGGTGGCGAACACCAAACTGGAAGGGAAAGACAATAAAAGGAGAAGCTGGGGTGCATAAATCTCCCACACCCACCCATGTCCTGGCCCCACAGCAGCAGGAAGGCAGCCCAGAACTGTGCCAGGTGTTCAGCCAGGAAATGGATATGGAGATGCCCTCTCCAAGCTCCAGACCCTGCATTTGGCTCCCAAAGTGGGACAAGTCTGTCCCACCAGTGTGGGAGAACAGCAATACTGAGCCTGAGCCCATGGCAAGCTTGAGAGACACTAAGATGGAGCAAAACAGCTCCCGGCCCCAGGACCTCATATCTCATCCCATCTGCTGGGGAGCTACCAGCCTGACTGAGCTCTGGCATTCCCCCAAGAAACTCTGGGGCAGTTCTCACCCTGCCTGCCAAGCAGAGACCCCAGCAGCACTGTCCCCTATACCTGGGCTCAGTCTGTGCCCATGCAGTGCCACCCATGGGTGGAGAGTGACTTACCATAATCCCACCAGGCCAACCTGCAGGGGAGCGTTCAGGTACGGGTACCGCTGCCAGGGAGAGGCTTTGTGTCAGTGTGGCCAACAGGGTGGGAAGGTGCCTGTTTTCTGATGGTGTGCCAGCTCCAAGGGGTGCCAGCAATGTGACAAGCTCAAGGGGTGCTCCTATGCTCACTCTCCCATCCCAGGACCCCTAGTACCTTCAGGAAAGCTCTCTTCTCCAGCATGTTCATGATCACTGGCGGGATGGCTGAGGCAAAGGGGAAATAGATGAGCCCTCAGTGCTCACAGGCCCCCAGCAGCAGTAAGACCCCATCCCATGCTGCCAGGGACCAGCTGTAGTCCCCCAGCACAGATGGAGGAGGGGACACTCACCCATGGCTGGGGCTGCCATGCCAATGCGGGACACCACCACCTGGAAAATGGCCTTCTGGGCTGCAGCTGTGGATTCTCCTAGGCGGTTCCCATTCTCATCTGTGACTGGGATCCCCAGCTTGAGCTCTCTGCAGGGAGAGAGGCAGTGAAGGGGCCCCAGGGCACAAGAGTGGGGGGATCAGGAGACAGGGCAGGTGCATGTCTCCAAGGGAAGCTGGCATCCTCCTGTATCCCCATCCACTGCCTGCATAATAAACCGCAGGGGATCTCAGCTGGACCCACATTCACACTTGGGAGTGGTCCTCAAGAGGGCTGTATGGGGATGCAACCAGGTGCTTGTACCCTCAAGCCAACCCCCCAGGCTAAAGGATGAGAGCAGGGCCAGCAAGGGAAGTCTCTGAGTTCCCTGCCAGTGCCTGGTGACCCCTGACATGACCCCAAGCACCCCAGCCCAGCCCAGGGGCTCACCTCTGCCTCATTAGTGGGATGTTGATGCAGTTGGCAGCTGCCACAGCCGCAAAAGGAACGTACCGGCCGATGATGGCTGGCAAGTGCTGGGGGGAAAAGCAGGAGGACGTAATGCGGAGGGTCTGAGGGCAGAGCTGGCTGTTCCCAGGTCTGCAACCATCCTCCTGCAAGACCCTGTTGTGTCCCAGCCCCACTGGAGAAAAACATTCCCTCCTCCCCTGGAACTCCCAGCCACTAAAAGCTGCACAGCCCAAAGGGTCTGGGGGGTGTCCCACATCCCACCCCAGGCCTGGACAGAGGCTGACTGGTGAAAGAAGCCTGGAGAGATGCAACTGGAGCAAGGCTGGAAGGACAGGCTATCTCCACAGCCTTCACTCAGGAGAGCAGTTGTCTTGTGTGGGTGACCCCATCAAGGCCCTTTTCTCCATCTTCTTCCCCACCCCAGGTGATGGGGTGAATCTGCTGATCAGCTCAGAGCTCAGGGAGATCCCATGGGAAGGGTCCAGGTGCCCCACCCATAATGGCCAAGGGTCACCTTACCTTGGTGAGAGATTTGAGCCCCAGTGCTGTGACAACTGCCCCTGTGGTCGCACTCACATAGGCCGTCCCCAGCTGGCTGCAAGAGCAGGAAGTGACACCCATAAGCCAGGTTCCCCTCATCCCAGTTCCCCCTCCAAAGGGGACAGCATGCCCTTCAAGAGCACCAGGAAACCTGAGTTCCTTTCCCAGCTCTACTACTAACTCTGACAGCCCCACTGGTGTCCAACTCTGGCTGTGCCAGGTCCCTATCATCCTCTCTCACAGCTCCCTACTATTCAAGGAACTGTTCAAGGCACATCCCTGGCATTTTGGGGTATCCCAAGAACCTGGTCAGAGGGATGCTTACCTGGGGGTAATGGGTGCATCCCCACTGCGGTTGGTGTAGTTGACAACGGCATTGAAGGACTGGTTGACCCACTGCCAGAACAGCACAGCCGGTGTGGTCCTGCCAGAGAGAGAAGGGTGCTGGTGGCATTGGGGGATGCCACCTCTGCTCCTACAGCACTAGTGCACCGTGGGGTATGGGACATGTGTCCCCTCCTCACCCCAGGGCCTGGGAGGGGCATCCTCCTGGCCCTGGGGTGAGGAAGGGACAGGTACCTGTAGAAGGTCAACATGCAACCGGTGATGGTCATGTTCATGGGGACCTGAGCAGACATGCGTCCCACAAGGAGCATCTTCTCACCCGTGTCAGGGTGGAAAGCTGAATCGTAGATGTACTTTGCTCGCCACAGCTGATCCTCTGTCAGCCCTGGGGGTACTGTGCCCGCCCTGCCAGGTAAGGGTAGTACCTGTTGAAAGACCCTCTGCCAGCATACGTGCCCTACTTGGTCCCCCACAACCTTAGGGACCAGCCAGGCAGTTTGGGGGGCTGGCTTTGGCTGGGGGGGCGGTCATTATAGCTTTCATTCCCACCTCTGGGGATGGCCCCAAGGTTGTATCCTGCCCAGGAGCAGTGCTGAGGGTACACCCACCCTCTCCCCGGGTACCTGTAGTCCTCCACCACCTGTCGGGCTTCCTCCAGTGTGGCCCCCGAGAGCAGCAGGTTTCGGGGGTCTGTCACCATGAAAAAGTGTTTGGCCCGGCCCTGAAAGGTGCTCTGGTCCCATCGGGGCTCACGGATGTTGATGGTGGCAGGCAAGGATGGTGGCATCTTCTGGTAGGGTGGGGCTGAAAGGATTATGTGGGATGTGGTGCCTGTGAATCCCCCAACAGCCCTGTTGGGGCAGCTCTGGAGCTCCCCCAGCCTGGGGGGACAAAGGGAGTCTCTTTGTAATGGAGCTCAGCAGGGACCCCCGAGGCCACCCACCAGATGGGGCAGCTCGTGGGCGGTGTGACCCCACCACTGTACACTGCGATCTGTCAGTGGGAACCCCCCGAACAGCCACCAGAAGTCACGGACACCACCCCACCCAGACAGGGCACCCCGGTCACAGGTGGGGGACGGGGACTCACCACTTCGGGGCTAGAGCTGCTGCCAGCAGCGGGAGAGCACGGAAGGGCACGGGACGGAGGAATATCCCCCGGGGAATGCACCGCCACACCCCGCACGGCGCTATTTCCGCGGCCGCCCCTCCCCGCGAGAAGCGGCGCTCAGCAACCTCCCACCCCGCGCCGAGCATCCCTCCCGCCACGCGTGACATCCCCCGCGTAAGGACCAGGGGCACCCCCCGCACTCACGACTCCCGGGGCAGCGCCCGCCGTGCCCGCGCTGCCGCCACCGCCCTGTTCCCGCCCGGCGCGCGGTGACGTTCGGTCTCGTCACGGGGGGGCGGCCCCGCGGCGGGCGGGGCGGGGCGGGGCGGGCGCGGGGGGCGGC